TTGACGAACATCATCAGAGCAAGGTATCATCGTCACAACCAAATTCAAACTAACGAGTCAAGAAAACGAATAAATGTCTTATCAACTTTTCGTCAGTTTGAGTCGGTTGCAGGAAGCATGCCCTGCTCTGAGGATGTGCATCATACGACGGACGAAAGCTTAGCACATTGCCACTGGAATCGAAGGAGATTGTCTCGAGGACAGCATCAAACAGTTTGCCTGACACTAGCCCCCCAAATGAGGCAGGTTAGAGGGCTCGAAGCACATTCGTTCTACCATGCTGAATATCTCTTCCAATCTGTGCTCTTATGTTAATAAATAAACACGATGATGCTGGAGTTTTCTTAACTTATAGATACAGAGTTATTATGGATAAGAAGAGTAACTGGGTTTCGATTGATCTCCTGACATAATATTGTTGGGAAGACTTTTATTGGGTATGCACTCGCATAAGACAGAGATTCCAACGTCGATCTCAACCGAATAGGACGGCTGATTCCCGTTTTACGGCAGCCATTTGGCGAAAAAAGTTAGGTTTCGAAGAATTTCTTCTTTCATAATTGTTCAGCTTAATTCCACCTTGACTCAACTTGATTTTTGTTGTGAAGATGATACATTGCTCTGATGATGTTCGTCATATGACGGACGAAAGCTTAGCACCTGTTCACCAGAATCAAAGGAGATTGCCTCGGAAACAGATTCAGTATGAATCTTCCAGTAAAGCCAATCGACAGCTGGTCACGAGGAATCCGCTGTCGTCTTCTGGTGGAACTGACCTTTAAATCTCTTAACCCAACACTTTCACTCGAAATGGAAGTAAGCTTAACAATTATGAAACAAGAGATTCCTCGAAACCAAACTTTTTTTCGAAGGAGATTGTCTTGAGTACAGCGTCTACCAGTTTGCTCCAGCCAATTCAATCAACAGCTGGCAACCAGAAATCCACCATCGTTTTCTGGTGACATCGAGCTCATCCTCTCATCCTCAAACACTTTTCCGTGAACTGGAAGTGGACCCAAAAATGAAAAAAAAAACACTTTTATGCCATTTTTCGTCACAACTACGGCGCCAAGCGGGTCTACCGTCTTGAACTAGTCGTCCAGTCAACCAAGCTGGCATCGAGTGACGCATGACTGATACTTGCTTTTGTCTAAAGTCATGTCAGTCCTACATCACTTTATGCAGCCTCGAGTTTTTGGAGTTCTTATTCAAGCCTTAGTGATACTTTTGACACCTACTTTCTACCAAGACGTGTGTTTCATCTGCCCAGT